TCAGCGCTCTGGCCCTCACTACAGCGCACAAGTGCACCAGCACTTCCACACTTCTTGTGAATGAGATATCTGCCCGAATGGTAGGCTGGCCAGTCCTTTTGTAGTCTTGGAATGCTCTTCAACTCGTGCCAGCCTCTGCTTTTCTGGGACCTGGCTGGTTCTGGTACCACATCCCCACGGCCTGTCTGCTTCTGAATGTCAAGGCCTGGAACCTTCACGAATTTCCTTTGGTCTGCTGCTGCTTGGGCCTTTGAGTCGTGACTTTTTATTTGTGAACATGACTTTTGACTGTGGACTGTGACTCCTGCCTCTGGAACACGACTTCCGCCTGTGGATCTGCCCATTTACTCGTGGGATGTGATTCTTCAGCAGGACTTTTCATTATGAGACGTGACCCCTGCCTTTGAGACATGATTCTTGCTTGTGAATCTGCCTTTTCTCTCGTGGGATGTGACTCCTCAAAATGGCTTTTTATTATGAGACATCACTCTTGTCCCTGAGATGTGACTGTTTGCTGGGTGCCTATTGGACCAGACTGCTGAGGTACCCGACATTGACTTTTCTGAGTTTTTTTTTTTTTTTTTTTTTTTTTTTTGACGAACTCGGCCTTTTTTTGACCAGGGCATCTGACCCTGAGATCCGAATTTGGGGTCTGAATCGTGGAAGGCCTTTCATTGGTGTGTTGTGCTAGTTCACATCTGACGTGGAGTGTGCTATCTTTTTTTTTTTTTTTTTTTCCTTTTAAAAGTCCATGGTGTTGTAGAGGCCAGTCACTGAGTACACAGTGATCACCTGGAGCAGTAGGCCGTGGGTGTCCTGAAATATGAGACCACCTTCCATCCCATCCTCACGTCAATACTCCTAGCGCACCCCCTATCCCACTATCCTACCTCAGTGTGACCAGCACTCAGGACCATTACCCTACCAATGGGCAGGTAACTTGGACCGAACAGCAGTGATAGGCACCAGGGCTGATAGGTTGCCCAGCCCTGGTGGAAGCGGAATCGGACGAGCCTTGTCGAACGGGAACTTCAGACGCCAGGCCCAGACAATCTACTACAGGCCCCAAGAGACTCTGGGCCCCAGGTTTCAGACAGGGTAGCACCCACTGAAGCAGTCTTACCGTCCTTCCCCTAGCTTACCCAAGGCCAGGCTGAACTCGGACTGGCCCGAGCGGCTTATACCCCTACCCTTACCCCAGGGTCTAAGCCTTATATATAGCCACTAGACAGTTCTACCCGAATATCAAGTAGGAACTCCGGTGACCCATACCTGTCCCTACCACAGATACTAGACCCCAACCAGTGTGCTATCTTGGTGGTGTATTGAGCACTTCATCGTCTCATGTCAGGGTACAATTGCAGTTCTGTCCCTCGTCTCATCTCTTACTGCAACCTCAAACCAAGAGATGAGACGAGGGACAGAACTGCAATTGTGATTTTTTTATCATTAATTTTATTTATTTTTGGTCGAGAAGGTATTTTACTATGTATGGAGTCGTTCTGCGTTCTGCCCCATTTTTTTTAATGATGATTGCCTTCAATGACACACACCATCTTCAAGCGTCACAAGATTCACAACTCTTTTTTTTTTTTCTTTTTTTTTTTTGGTGGATCCTTTCTAGACTACCAGAGTGGCCGGGACGACTTGCCCGGCCGGGCCCAAAAAAAATAAAAATATATTTTTAAAAATTTTAAATTTGACAAAGAATTCCGATGTGACCCTGAGGCAAAAGTTGCGCCCGGATATGCATAACACTAGGCTACCAGAGTGGTAAGGGACCACTTGCCCAGCCGGGCCAGAAAAAAGAAAAAGATATGTATTTTTTATTTTTAAGTTTGGTAAATAATTTCGATGTGACCTGAGGCAAAAGTTGTTCAGTTTAGTTTTCTGCATAACATAGTTTTGTTTTCAGATTGTTTTTTTTGTTTTTTGTTTTTTTGTTTTTTTGTTTTTTTGTTTTTTTGTTTTTTTGTTTTTTTGTTTTCTTTGCTGGGACCGTCTTTGGTCCTTGCACGGCTGGGCCCCCCAGGAAAAAAAGGGTGACCCGGGCGGCCCACCTGGTAGCCTAGGCATAACATGGATTTTTTTTGGGGTTTTGTTTTTTCTTTTTTGATGGGACCTTTCCTGGTCCTTGCACGGCCGGGCCGCCCGGGAAAAAAGGGTGCCCCGGGTGGCCCGGCTGGTAGCCTAGGATCCTTTTCTTCTTTCTTGTATCCCTTTTTTTTTTTTTTTTTTTTTTTTTTTT